GGTGCTCTCCCCTTCAACTATTGTGGTGGCCCATCATCTTTTTCATATTTTAGATGATTAAGGAACTAAAAACATGCAAATCCATCCTCTTGTAGATATCAGGTTTCTAAAATAAATTTACATTTGGAGATCTAAAATTGCTAAATATTAAACGTCATCTCAACATGTGACCATCCATTTCTATCTTAAGGGCTCCTCTCTATTTTGTCTCGGCATAAATATCAATAAAATGGTCAAATCACTTCAAAAAATTAGGCAGTCAAATCAATCAATATATCAACAAAGCCATTACTTTAATAACATCATTTCTTTCAAGTATCTTCTCAAGGAAAATGGTTTAATAGGCTTGCGGCCCTATCAAATAAGTAAAGCCTCAACTCATAACTCATCCAAAATGGCAATTCAAGTATTGATAGACGTTTACATTGATCATCTGAGCTTAAACATTATAATTGTAAAAAAAATTAGGATTTCAAGCTCTAAAAATAATGTATATTGTAACAAATTATATAGGACATTTATTTAGCACTAAAAATAAGTATTCACAGATACGTAAAATCTGTACATTTTTTTAGCTACAAATTTACTATCATTGTTGGAAATTGATTTTACAGCCATCATGGAGATTTTGGTTGCTGAAAGTGCTTTCCGGACAAAGATTTGAGGTGAGGCTTATTTTGTTTTCATAACACCTAGGCCTCATAGAAACTTTATCCTCTTCTCAAAGTATTTTGCCTAAAATACAAAAAATGTTAGTTAGCGGCTCCAAATAATCTAAATGCCTGTCCTTACTCCGTGTTCTAAACCTAGAATAAGAGCTTTTTAATGAAAATCGATGTCTAGAATTTGGAACCCAAACAAGTAAGGGTGTTTATATTGTTCGACTTGACCATGATATTTTCTAAAATACTTTTACTTGTTCAAGATTCTAAATTGCAATGGTTGCATTTTATACATATTTTTCAAGAGAAAATTACGTAAAAATCTCATTTTATTTTAAAATTTTAAATAATGATATATTTTTTATAGTTTACGCTCAAGTTAAACTTTTTGAAAGTTTACATTATATTTTATTTTTATTTTTTACATACATAATATAGAGCTCAAATTTAAGACATGCATATTAGTCATCATCACCCACTAGTAAAAAATATAAAAGAATATTTTTAAAGATTTCCCAAATACCGATAACTTGCAAGTGTATTTTGATATTTTTTCAATATTGAATTCTTTTGTTTGCACAGTTGCATGATGACAAGAAATATACACCTAAATTTGAGCTCAAACTAATTTATAATAAAATAAAATTAAAAGAGGGATTCAAGTGAAAAATAATAAATATGTGTCTATTTCTAAATTCCAAAACTAAAATGTGATTTTTCTCTAAATTTCCCATTTTTAACAAGTAGTTAAAGACTTCTTTGAGAGAAATTGTCTTGTTGAAGTCGAGGCTTGTTGATGAGTTAGCTGCTTGGTAAATTTCTAGCAAAATTATATTTTATTTTTAAAATTTAAAAATTAGTAATATTTATTTCATATTTTACATTCAAGACCTACTTTTTTAGAGTATAAACTGTATTTTAATTTAATTTATCTTTCTATATATCACATAAGCTCAAATTTGATGTCTATAACTCTTACAGTTGCACACCTATAAGAAATGTTTAAAAATATTTTTAGATAAATAAAAGTACCAAAATACCCCTAAATTTTGTAGGGGTATTTTGGTTATTTATTTTAAATTTATTTATTTAACATATTTTTATAGGTGTGTATAGCGAGAAGAATAGATATATAACCTAATAAATAAAAAATAGATTAAATAAAATACATTTGATACTCCTAAAAAGTGGGATTTAAATGCGAAATATGAAATATATATAAGACTATTTTTTAATTTCAAAATAAAAAAGGACTTTCACAACAATTCAAAATGGGAAATATTTCTATACATAGGGAATTTATGTATGCCACCTCTCTCCTAATGATCCGATCTAAATAGACAATTGAGATGATCCCAATCATATGTCCCACCGAAACGTTATTTTATTTTTAATATTTTATAAATCATTTTAACATCAAATTTGGGGTGTCCAAGCCTCACTAAAATTCCCACCTACAAAAAATATTAAAAAGAAAATGTATACCTAGTAAAATAAAATAACCAAAATACCCTTGATAGTTTCAGGGGTAGTTTGGTTATTTTTATTTTTAAATATTTTTTATAATTTTTTTAGGTGCTCCCTATTGATACCAAATTTTATTTTCTTATGATTTGTAGAAAATATTAAAAATAAAATACTCTGGGATGTCGGATCTAAATAAAACGGTCAGAGGCTCACTTGTAACACGATCGCTAAAGGTATCCCAACCATTCATTCAGATTAGACAGTTGGGAGATAGTGGTATGTATAAATTCCCTATGCCAACTAGCATACAAAAAGCTTAGTATTTCACGTAGTTTAAACATCTAGTAAGGGGATTTGTGTTACCTAAGTCTTTTTCAAGAGAATTCACCCAAAAAAAAGAATTCTCCAAAGATACAACTTTGATGCATGGACAATATAAAATGGGATTGTATATTATGAGGTCGTTTACTTTTGTTACTAGGAGGTCACAAATACTCTTATATGTCAAATTTTGAATTAGAGAGCTTGGGATGTGTTACGAAATTCGAAAAATTCTCATTGAACTTTGAACCTCGTAAATAATACACTTGCAACCATCCAATTTAAAATCCTACAAGCAATAATGACCCCCTGTACCAAAAGTAAGTGGTTTCCTTATGTACTTTTCCATATAAAATAGAAAAGAAATAAGAAACCTTTTAAGGCATCATGCGATGAGTCTTTAGGATTTACAAGGGGGGCCTTCCAATTTGGAGCACGTTTTGAGCTCGATATCACTTTTTTAAAATAAAGATAACTATGAGCGTTTTTTAACTACGAGATATAAGAGTTTTATGGTCCGGTCTCCTGGTGTTTGACTCGTAAGACGGAGGAATCAATTGAATATCAAGTGGTCCCGCATGACTACGTAACCTTTTTACTTCTCTTTTAAGTAAATAACGAACAAACATAGAAATAACCAAGGTCCCCATGCGGAAACGTAGCCAATTAAAAGAAAAAGAAAAAACCTTACCTGATAATTCATACTTCATCAATATTTAGAAAGAAAGAGATGAAAAGTAAAAAATAAGAGTTTATTTCGATGGCAATTAGTTTTATCTAGAATAGGCTAACTTATTTAAAATTAATAATTTGGCTAGATGTTTGGTACTTACTTGTATTATGTATACTATTATTTATTGTTTAACTTTTTTGACATTTTTCTGATATTTGAATTTAATTCTGGTTAAAAAAGCATAATTTCCAGTAAATTACCTTTAATAAAATAAAAAAATAATTTTTTTTAGAAAACATACATATAATACTGACTATGAGGTTAGCATTCAGGTTCAAGTCTAATGGTATTATCAATATTTGGCATTCTCTCTCCTTCACAACTATATGGATGATTTGGGAGGAGCGGAACCACCGTAAGCTTTAAGGAAGGACACTCACTCTTGCGAAACTGATTCGAATGACCACCTACCATGTTCGTGATTTGGCGGATGCTAAGGCATGGACTTACCACATCTCAGAAAAGGCAATTACTGAGAATTTACAACTTATATAGCGACAGTAGATAATCAAGTTACCCATAACAGTGGCATGAGCTTTTCCTCATTCACAGCATTTTAAGCTAAATATTGATGGGTCTTCTATTCAGAATCCAGGTCAAGCTGATTGTAGGGGTGTCTTGAGATGGGATGATGGATCTGTCGTTACTGATTTCTCGGTTCCTCTTGAATGACTTCCAATAATTATGCATAATTTTGAGGTTTACAAGAGGTTGTTGATTTAGCCACTCAAATGGAATGCTTCCCCCTCGATTCCTCTTGGAATTGCTTCCAATAATTATGCAAAATTTTGAGGTTTACAAGAAGTTGTTGATTTAGTCACTCAAATGGAATGCTTCCCCCTACAAATTGAGAGTGCTTCCTCTTTACTTGTTCAGATCATATAGGGCAGGTGTCAAACTTCATGGGTTCTTCATATCATAGATGCTAATTACAAATCTAGACTTGAGAATCATTCATGGTTTATCTGCCATGTTTACTATGAGGCTGATACGGTAGTTGTTGCTCTTGCCAAAAAAAACTATAATTTTTGCAGAGGCCACCATTTGGCGCTCTAGGCCTCTAGATTTTCTTAACCTTCCTCTAATTCATGATGTGGTGCAATTACCTTATTGCAGGGTTGTAAGATAGTACGATGTAATTTTTTCTATTTTTTTAATTAATAAAAAAGGGGTAGATTGTACGATAGTGCCCAATAACAAATAATTCATTATCTCATGTTATTAAAACAAGAGTGAGATTTTCATAAGGTGTCAACCTTATGCTATTAATGTAAGGTGCACTTCAAAACTATGCCAAAAATGTAGTTTTGGTGCTGCAAAGCCTTCACATGCTATGAAAATCTATTCTTGCTCCCAATTGTGAAATTTAAAATTTCAGAAATGGTGATGATCAAGCAGATCTATACACACTTGAAAATTTTGAAAAAGTATAGGCCATATATTGCATTAGAAGATGTATAATTTTTAAGATTAAAAATCTTTTTTTTATATATATCTATGAATTTCAAGATCGAGATAATCGATTTGAGGGTTTTCCACGGTAAACAACCTTCTCTATTGGGTTTTCTAGATGCACCTTACCAGCATAAAGTTGGCAAAGTTGACCCCTTGTGTAAACTTTTTCCTTAAAATAACGATATATCCATACAAACAAACAAAGAGTGATAAATCCCAAATTTAATCTTCAGTTGGGAGGTTAAAAGGAGGTTGAATTGGAAGTTTCACCCCGCAATGAACGCCACCTATGTACAGATAAGAAGTTAACTAAACACCATTAGTTCCAAAAACTTCTAGTAAGAGAAACAGGGTGAAGAGAGAGAGAAACTAAAACTCCAAAATTCAGAGTTTTTGATACAGTTAAGGGCACCCCTGCAGAGGTCATTAATACCAAACGAAAACAAAATACTATAAAGAGAGAGAGAGAGAGAGAGAGGAATAACCAGTCTCTCCCTCTGGCTGAACCCAATTCTCTCACATCTCACAATGAACAATGGAGGTGGCCCTGATCCCAAGAAGAAGAAGCACCAACGCCTCCTCCTCCTCATAAATGCCTTATGCCTCACCTTAGGAGCAACTGGTGGCCCATTAATCTCTCGCCTCTACTTCCTCCATGGAGGCCACAAACTGTGGCTCAGTGCTTTCCTCGAAACCGGAGGATGGCCTATCCTCCTCTTCCCTCTTGCTTTCTCTAAGTTTTTCAACAAAACCAACAAGAAAAACCCACAATCTCAGCAGCAAGAAGGAGAGGAAAGAACCCATATAACCTTACCTTTGTTCCTTCAATGCTCATTCATAGGCCTCTTAACTGGTGTTGACGATTACATGTACGCTTTTGGTCTCTCTTATTTGCCTGTTTCGACATCGGCTTTGTTGATCGCTTCTCAGCTCGCTTTCACCGCTCTCTTTGCTTTGATCGTGGTGAGACATAAATTCACTGCGTTCTTGACGAATTCGGTCGTTTTATTAACTCTGGGTTCGGCTTTCTTGGGTTTGGGAGCTAATGGTGATCGGCCTAAAGGTTTGAGTAATGGCCGGTATTTTTTGGGGTTCTTCATGACTCTTGGGGCTGCTGCTTTATATGGGTTGGTGCTTCCTTTGATTGAGTTAATGTATGCGAGGTCCAGGCAGAAGATTACTTACATGTTGGTTTTGGAGATGCAGCTTGTTATGTCTGTTTTTGCAACTGCTTTTTGCGCCGTTGGGATGCTCATTAACAAGGATTTTCAGGTAAAATTTTCATATTAAATTTGATAGTTTCCTATTATTCTTGGAGCTTTTCTTCTTTTTTTTTAATTTCTTTATGTTTTTCTTTTATTGGGAACTTTTTTAATTTCTTTTTGTTTTTCTTTTATTGGGAACATATAGGGTTGGTCTTTCTTTTTTTTTCTTAGTTTTTGTTTTCATCTTTAGACACTTTAGACTTGAGGGTGAATTGGTGGTAAATTTTTCATATTACAGTTGATAGTTTCCTATTGTTCTTGGAGCTTTTCTTTCTTTCTTTTTTTTTAATTTATTTTTCTATTTCTTTTATTGGGAACTTATAGAGTTGGTCTATTTTATTTTATTTTTTTCCTTAGTTTTTATTTTCATCTTTAGACAATTTAGACTTGAGGCCGAATTGATGGTTTGGTTGGAATTGGTGGTACTCTGACTTCTCTGTTTAGACTTGTGTTTGGAAACTTGGATTTGGTTGTATTTTGTGCATTGGTAGTGTTTTCCTTTGATAAATAACAGGTTTCATAGTCTTTGTTTGCTATTTTGATACTCATATGGTGGTGTTCTTTGCTTGAATTATAGCATTTCCTGTTGTTTTCTATTTTAATAACACTTATGAGGTGGCTTCCTCTGTCCTATATATATATATATATATATAGGGTTTCCTAACCTTTATTTTATATTGGTTTTCTCTTAAGAAAGATGGATTTTTTGTCCCTTTTTTTTTTCATTTTTTTTACTTGAATTTTTTTTTGGATTTTAATGTTTAGACTTGTATGATGGTTTTCTCTACTGAATTAATGGATGGTTTCTCTACACTAATGGGATGGGAGTTTTGTTCATGGGGGTTTGAAATTTTCAGCATATTCCAAAAGAGGCGAGAGCGTTTGACCTGGGAGCAGTTGGGTATTATGCAACACTAGTGGGTAGTGGAGTCGCTTGGCAACTCTTCTTTATTGGAACAGTGGGATTAATCTTTTGTGCCAGTTCTGTGGTCAGTGGCATTATGATCGCTTTCTTGATACCCATAACCGAGATATTGGCAGTCATTTTCTATCATGAAAAGTTCACAGGAGAAAAGGCCATGGCCTTGATCATGTCTCTGTGGGGTTTTGCCTCTTATATTTATGGAGAGAGAAAAGCTGAGTTAAAGAAGAAGAAAAGAGAGGAGGAGATTTCTATGGAAACAAGGGTCAATCAGGTTTAATTCTTGTTTTTTTTTTAAGGTCATTGCTATTTAGTGTTTGTCTCAATGGAAAATGTACAAAAGACGTTAGGATTGATGTACTTGTATTTTTCTTTTGAGAGTGGACCAAGCTTTAATTTTTTTTTTGTAGACAGATGAAATAGCAAAATATTTCCGCTCTAAATAATGCATTTTTTTGTGGAAAATGATTTCATAAGGCTGCAGCATTATCAAAATAAGTAAAATCTCACCTCATAACTCATCAAAAATTGCAATTCAAGTGTAGAAAAACCTTTAAATCGATCATCTCAGCTTGAACATTATAGTTGCATAAAAAAATTAAGATTTCAAATTCTAAAAATAATGTATATTGCAACAAATCATTTAGACCATCCATTTCACCCAAAAAATAAGTGTTTTCAGATTCACAAGATTTATACCATTTCTTGAATTTCAAATTTTATTATCAGGGTTAAAAATTAATTTTAGAGCCATAATGAAGATTTTTTATGCCGAAAGTGCTTTTTGTTTTGTTTTTATAAAGCCTAGGCCTCATCTTTTATTAGGAAATATAGCTACCTTTCCCTATTTTATTTCCATGTACATTTATACGGTATAATATACAAACGTTTGCGCACTTTGCCAAACACATGGAGCACGCATGAAGATGCATGCATAGACTTCTTTATTAACGTGAATAAAGTTTTTAACAGTCTATTTACTTTTAATCCAAAGAAGTCCCAATCGCTTTTACTCATTAAATGTGAAATTTAACAAATTGAAACATCACAATATTTGAAAAAAAATTATACTCCATACCCAATCAATATACATCCCTGTCAAATAATGATTGTGCTTCTTTGTATCAAAAAATAAAGTCTTCTTGTATATATTTCCATATTTTACACACGTTCCTTTGGCTCAATTTAACATAATTTGTAATTCTCGATTTAGCTTAACCCCATCTTGGATTGGTCCAGGAATCCGCAATGCTGCATGATAAATAGCTCGAGTTCCAAAAGAACCCCCATAAGGAAGCAAATTACAATTTACTTTTTTTTTTCAAATCGGGACATTATTTTATTCTTTTTGTAAATGACTTGAGAATGCAGACCCTACCTTTTTTAAAAATAGTAGTTTTCGAGTGCGTTTGTGAGAATAGAGGCCGGTAGCTGGTAGTTTTCGAGTCCGTCAGTGAGAATGGAGTCCAGTAGCTGGGCCTCACATGGTGCTACCACAATTTAATCCTCTCGGAAGTATACTACGAGCTACTTTTTTATATTCTGCTACATACTCTGCTATAAGAGAAGAGGTACGGTAACAGAAGCCAGGTGTTGAAGTTCCCAAACAAGTTGAAACCTTCTAACCACTTACCACTGAACTACTCACATAGAGAGTAGATTTTATTTCCAGGTTCGGAGGCAGACCACATGAAAAAGAATACCACTTTTTCCCTGTATCTGGGAGTGAAACGTTGTTGCCGCATGGCATTCCCAGCTGAATACCATTTCAAAACCCTGTTTGTCAAGAAAATGCCCGCCAAAACACACTCATCTAAGTTTGACAAGCAAAGACTCTCACACTGATAATGATCAGTAATATTATTTTCTTGTTGCATCATCGAAAACATTGGTTCAATTGAGTTAGATCAAAATATCGTCAACAGATCACGATTCTACATTCCAGAAGTGGACATCGATGCCATGAATTAAAATCATTGGAAATGAATGCTTTATGTACAAAGTTCAATGTGCTCTCCTCAAAAATGCCCCACTCGGAGGAAGGCCCTTCCAAATGAATTACAGAAACCCACCATGTGAGTGAAATGGGACGTATTTTACGACGAGACGAGATACTCCCAATGAATACTTTCTTAGGTGTAGTTCTATAACTTTTCTATTTTCTGTTGTTCATTTTTCTCTTTTTTTTTTGGTAGTTTTCCAAGGTGTAGGTATGTCGGACCAGTCTTCTGTATTGAGAAGATTGACCCATCATTAAGGTGGTGGACCCAAGAAGTTTTTTTCTTTGTTTCTTTTAGCTCATACTACCCAATCAGCATCATGAGGATCAATATGATGAACATGATCTCAGCAGTGTGATTTTTGCTGTATGTGAATACAGTCCTAATAATTACACCCATTCTGGATAGGAAATCGGTGATCTCCTCCCACCTGTAAGTTCAACCAGTAGATAGCTGGGGATAAAGCCTGTTATTCAATTGAAAGATCTCCAAAATAGTCAGGTAAAAAAAAATCCCTTATTCACCGAAATCTAGAAGCCAAGCTTTTTCTGCAGATGTAAAATAAATGGAAATTTGAGCAAAAAGAAATCTGCTCAAAGCAAGCTAGATAAAATAATCTTACTATATATGTGAGACAGTATGTTGCCCATACTATCTCTACTGCATATACTAGATTTCTTAGGGTGCATGTATTTGTATCATCATCTAGAAATAAGGGCCTCTGATGTTAATTGATGTAATAACAACCTTTTTATATTTTTCTATCTACAATGGAGTCCTAAAGTTGATATTCTGTTTCATGTATGTGATAAATGACAAAGCCCTCTTATTATTTCAAACTCCTCGATTTCCTTTTTTTCTTGTTTTTTTGTAAGTAAAATGAATCATATAGTACATCAGGTTCTTAATTTTTTGAATCCTTTGATTACAAATTTTAGTTTTAAAAAATAGTCATTTCAAGATATCGGAAAATGAATAATATAAAACCTTCTAAAATCTTTAGTTTCAAATTACATATTTATATTTGAAAAATTGAAGTTATAAAACAATATCTTTGAAATGAGTATCATAGCACCTTCTCAATTTTTTAATCTTTCAATTAAGAATTTTTTGTCTAGAAAATAATCTACACACCGATTTAAATTATAGAGTGTATAAAGATAATTCACAATCAAGTGAATTTAAACAAAGTGGTTTGATACTTGCCTTTATTTATGAGTTTCCTATTGGAAACTTTTATTTTTGAAAATAAGTAATATAACACCTTCCAAATCTTTTAGTTATTTAATGGCAAAATAAAATTTATTAAAGATAATAAAAAAAAAATCTCGAAAACAAACAATATCACGGCTTGATAACTTACTGAATTTCAATAATTAAATTACTTTTTATGAAATAATTTATGCCAATTAAAATTTGAGGCAAAGCAAGAAGGAAGAAAGCACAGGAGTTCAATGGCCAAATTCCATGCATGCCCAAAACTATGACAGTAATTCAAAGCAGACTGATCATAAAAGACAAGCCCATAAGATAATAAGTAATAGATATTTGTAATGCAAATTATCTGCAACGATTATGTAAAGGGCCATCCAAACATCAGCTAAAAAAGAGAGTCTAATCTTATAAGAGAATAAATGGTTTTTCCTTCACTCCAAATTATTAGGTCACAATCACATCAGAGGATAGATTATTTCAAAGTAAATCTAAATTAGGTTAACCTCCCATTACAAGAATACAGGCCAACTAACTATCAAAAAAGAAAGCACAACATAAACTAAAAGCCACAAAATCCCCCTTAGCATCAAGTAAAAAGAATAAAATTATAATTAACATGGGACATAAATGACAGGGTTATCCTTACATAAATAATGTACAAATATATACATAGTAAATGACAGGGTCATCGTTACATAAATAGTTTACTAATACATACATAGCAAAACATAACTAGGCCCTCCCCCACTCGAACTCTACAGAATGAATTTGTCAGCAAGAAACTGATTTCACTTGGACTTGATGATCTCACTAACAATTTAGCTGTCGGTTTCAGTAAATTGGGAAAAAGTATCGACTAATATTATGCATTCATGAGTTAACGTTCATCAAAAAAAAATTTATTATGCATTCATGTTAATAGATCATTGTTGATTTATGGGCTAGGTTCAGACATTTTTCCATCATCTAGTATCTGAAAACCATCTGGATCTATCGAGTCTACTACCAGCAGCCAACAAATCATCTAGCGGACATCTATTAGATCAAACCTAGAATATTCTAATGCATCTATTTATGACTGGAAATATTAGCCTTATATTAGTATTTTGTCGCAACTTGCTTAGGTAATAAAGCTTCTCGATATCGTTGATCATTCCTCAATTCAGATTAACAAAAAAAAAATCTGCTGATACAAATCCTTAAGAACTTTCATACGGTTATGTCCTGAAGTTAATTCCATAGCTCTGTGAGGAGGTAATCATTGTTGCAACCATGAGGTTGTGCGTTGCATCGCAGCTTAGCTATGTAAAAAGAGCACAAGAATTTACTTTCATCAATTGCTGATGAATATGTTTCAGTTAAACAATCATTTAACCCATAATATCATGATTTTATGTTCTATGACATCTGTTACCTTTTGAGGATCTTCTAACGAAGAGAGACGCCATAGAGGCGGAAAGTTTTTTATCAATATTCTCGGATCCTAAAGAGATGTCAAGTATTCCACTGGCCATATCTTGGACCCAGACATCTAAATAATGACAGACTTCGTCATTTATTATCTTCTGATCAGATCTCATCTTTGTTTTAGTTGTTTTAGTTACTGTCAAGACATCAACAATGAGTTCAAATGGCTAAATAATCAGCTGTTCCACTTTCAAATTCTGTCAATAGAACTATTTTGGGGAATTGTGTGGATAAATCAAATAGAGATAGAGATACGTGGCTTTATTCTATGAAGCACTAATGTAGTGCTATTCTCGAGCGCTGATCTATAAAACTGAACGCTGAAGATATTTTAAATCAATAAAAATTCAATACCTTTCATATTTATTTGATGAGACATATGAAAAATCATGGGAAAATGATCCAAATGCACCTCACACTTGAACTATTTAATATTTTACCTAAAGAGTATTTTGATAAATTTCAAAACCCATTTTGATGTCTCATTTGATGGGCTATTTGAAATTTGATCAAAAGAATGATGGGCAATTTGAAATTAAATAGTTCAAATCATAGGTGTAGTTTGATAAATTCCCAAAAATCAGTAATTTTCATACTACAACCAGCATTCAATCACAAATTGGCATACCAGCTTCCCGGCAAAAATTTGTCGTTATCATGAAATGATTCTTCTCTTGCAAATTCTTCTAAGATTGTTCTCTGACGCTCATTTATTGCCCTGAACAAAAGATCAATCACTAACATGTTATCAACCCTCACAGCAACCGAAATATTAAAATATGGGCATCACTGTGAGTGCCTATCCACAAGAAATCAGCACCCCTGAACATGGACATAAGCTCTAGCCTTCATGAAATTTGAAGCCTTCATGAAATTTGACATTCGCAATCATCTTTCGGTAGGAATAGCAAAGACATGGGTACAAACGAAAAACAGTACAAAGAGCAACCTCCCAAAATAATAGTGATTCTGAGAACACTTGTAATTAAGCAAAGCCAAGTTTCACCAGTTTCTTTTGTTGAAATGTATGTGTATGTGTGTGCACGTGTCTCTGTGCATGCACAGCAGTCGTACTACGTTTTTTATGTTACCATATCATTTTTACCTTTTCTTTTCATCACCGTATTATTTGTATTACTGCAAGGAAGGAACAAAGAGGACAAAAAATGAGAACATATAGACAGATGATCTATGACTCCTAAAATAATTACATTATTTGGCACTTGATCAGCCTCCTATAAAGGAAATTGAAACTGCACAATTTAACATAAGAATAAGAAAATCTCCAATAAAGAAAATATATGCCATGGAAGGGCCACCTCACATGTACGATTTATGAACAAAAAGGGAATACTGCTTCATCAAATGGCTCAACAGAAAGTATAAACCGGATCAAAATCATGAAATCCAACCTCAACAAAGGAACTAGGGGAGACGAGTCCAACAAACCATTTGAGCATCACCGAAAAGTCTTTCCCTTATCATCTCTAGTTACATTACCCAAAAAAAAAAATGAAAGGACACTATATTGCATGTCATCTGGTTTGCATGAGGGAAGATCAAGGATTCAACCCTTCAAGCTTGTGCCCGTATAAAATATGCCCCCTTAGAGGTGGTTGGAGCTGTCTCTATCTGGGACTTTGTGGGCACCATCAGTCTTGACTTGGTGTATGACTAGGCTTGGTGTATGACTAGGCATGTGCATCATCCAAGAGGGTTCATGGTACCTATAGAGATCGTTATTAGCCAAGTGAGGGATGTCATTTAGCCAGGAGATTAACAGGCTCATGCATGTAAGCATGGAGGCTTGTGAGGACAAGTGCATGAAAGCCTCGACATGGCATCCTACACAGCATATGTGCAGCCGGTCATGTTATTTAATCGGTTAATGGATCGACAGCATGTAAGTACTTGGAAAATGACTCCCCTTGCACAAAACAAAGAAACCCAAACACCCTGTTTCAAATGACTCCCCTTGCACAAAAGGAAGAAACCCAGACACTCTGGCTCAGTGCTAGGTCTACGTGGCCTATAAATGGAGGAATGCACTTGAAATCTGTCACTACACTGTGGCATTTATATGCCTTAGTTATCTTTGATAAAATAACCATGAGCCCCCTTGCATGGGAGACTTGTGGGTCATGGGTTTGTTAAGTTGGTTTAGGCATAGATGGGGTCAAGAGGGTGGTTACAGCAGGTCTAATTGATGTTCTAGTTTCATTGCTAATATTCTCTTCCAATGTTTTTAAAAGTGTCTTTTCAAAGGCTTTTCAAGAAAATAAAATCATTTTATTTGCTCCATTTAATCATCTTTGCTTCATTTAATCATCTAAATATTCTGTAGTTCTTACTGTACTTAAAACAAGGATATTTTGGGAATAAAAATACTGTTTTAAATCAGGAGTTTTAATTTAGGAAAAAGTTAATATAAAGTTGCAAACTTAAAATGTAGAATTATAGATGCACCTCAAAACTCCATCGAAAAAGGTTGTTTTGATGTTGAAAAACCCTCTAGTTGATCATCTCAACATCGAGATATATGAATATGAAAAAAAAAAGATTTTGAGGTCTCAGAAATAGGGCATCTTGCAACACATTATCTAGACCGTCCATTTTCAAGATTTTCATATATTTATAGATTTACTTGATTTTAACCATTTTTGGAGTTTAAAATTTATAATTAGATATAAAAATAGATTTTCAAATAATCTTAAGAATTTTTTATACCAAAATTACTTGTTATGATAAAATTTGGAGGTGCGCCTTCATTGGATTGTTTAAGGTTGCAACCTTATAGAAACCACACCCTTTAATTTATTATGGGAGACATAAATGTAGCGATTTAATGCCATACTTGGGGGGGGCATTGAGGGGCACATCTACTGTCCATGTGGGCCCACATGTTTGATATTCTAGTTTCATTGCTAATATTCTCTTCCAATGTTTTCAAAGGTGACTTTCCAAATTTTTTCAAGAAACTAAAAATATAGGAGAACTACACAATATTTAGGTGGGTAAATGGACAAAATAAAACAATTTTAAAAAGGGATATTTTTGGAATAAAAAATTTGTTTTAAATCAGGGATTTGGTATTTTTAATTTATTATAGGAGACAAATGTAGAGATTTAGTGCCATACGTGGCGAGGGTATTGAGGGGCACGTCTACTGTCCATGTGCACCACCCACAGGTTTGACCTTTTGACCTACCCACTGGCCATGGGTGCCACATGGAGGTCACATAGTCAAGGGTGGATGGCGTGGGGCCCACTATTTCATGGGAGGTGCATGGAACACATGTAGGTCCCCTAATGTAAATTGAAGACACTGAAAATATTATATATAGATGACTTTTTTGATAAAATTTGTTTTGGAAAGTCAAACTCCAAGTTGACTAGGAGAAGATTGGATCAAACAAGGAAATCATCCAACTCCGCCATTGCCCGTCCTTGGCCCGGATAAAAAGGGAGAGTCGTGTTAAGTCGACAACCAACATAAAACTTTTGTCAAATCCCTATCATGATTCCTTATCTAATATGGAGGAACAAGATTTACATAGCCGACCCCAATAGTTGCGATAAGGCTCGGATGATAATGATGATGATTAGGAACCTTATCCAATTAGAAACAACTTATGGAGAGTCCTACAAGATCTAAAGGTATTATGAGATACAATTCGACAAAGAGAATGGAAGAAAAATGAAATCCAAGAATCCCAAGGATAATGGTGTTAAGATCCAACCTTGATCCATGATGGCTGGCCAAGGGATGGATGGCTGGATCAGCCCTCTCACACCATAGATCTAATTCTATAGAAGACTAATTCACCAGACTCCAGCTCTACCTTATAAACCTCTATATATAAACCATAGATCTAATTCTTGTAGAAGACTAATTCACCAGATTCCAGCTCTACCTTATAAACTTCTATATATAAAGGGTACCCCACCCCTTATGTATATATCGTATCTTCTTCCCTTGAGTCCTAGGGCACCACGTGGGAACTAGATAGAGGACAGAAAGAGAGAAGGGCGTGCCAAAAAGTAGGTTTTAAGGTTTTTGGGAAACGGTTTATATGAGAGATAGGTGGAGTGTATAGAGTTGGGTTGGGTTTTGGACTCCTTATGCGAGAGATCTAAGAAAGAGAGAGGAAAACCCCGCGACCAAAACCACCCATTCTAAGAAACCTACCCTAAACTGAGAAGAAATGTTGAATCGTTCTCCTACAAGCTGCCACTGATCCAGGGAGATTGTATGGGGTGTACCAAACCCCAGAAGGTAATTCTAGGTGAATATTCAATTTTGTGATCTTTGTTGTTTTGCCTATTTTTGGAGCACCAAGTTAGGAGTGTGGCAGCAGCTTTTCTCAGGACAAGCCTTGCTTTTCTTTTGTGCTTTCCAGTCTAGCTTCAGCCTATAAGATTTCAAATGAGGCATAAGTAAGAGCAGTGAGTGGCAAGGGTTTTAATAAAAGGTGCTCAGTGCAGTCTATACAAAATTGTAGCACCTAGTCACACCCTCCCACACTCAAAACAAAGAACAGCTCTGAGCAGAGTGTATTTTTATTTACTAATGATAAGAGGGACGGCTAATCCTATCCAAAACACTTTTCCCTTCCCGCTAAATTTTGTTATATATGTTCTCTAAATGTTTTATATTAACAATTAGAAGGCTTACACTCAACAGATATCATATATTTTGATATCGTAAGAGAAAACTAAGTAATATCAAAAGAAAAACTAGTAGTATCTGGAATTGCAAAACGTATTTGGAGATTATTGGGAGGGTATTTGATAACGGGAAAAATTATCTTTATTTTTATTTTTATTCAATTTCAAAAAATATATATTATAGTTTTAGTTTAAGGGTTTATTTCTAGGGGTTTTTAGTTTTTAGGAATTCTAGGGTTTTCAATTTTTTTATTTATTTATTTCATGAGTATTATTTACAAGTATTGTTCACAAGTAGTATTCATGGGTACCGTTCACAGGGGTTAAACTTTCATTATGAAATTTAAGTTTAAGTTAGAAAATATTGGTCATTTTAATCATTATATAGACGTGCAATGTATTTGAACATTAAATTATAATATATAAGAGAACATTGAATTATAATATATAAGAAGTGTGTGGGGCCTTGAAAGGGTAAATTCCACATGATTTTTAGAAATTGAAAAAGAGAAGCTTAGGTTTTTGGAACCCTAGCTTTGGATATGGAGAATAAACCATAAGTTTCTTCAACTTGTACTTGTGTTTAGCTTTCTTTCTTGTTGATTTTATGATTCCCTCAAATTTTCCTGCATCAAATTAGTATCAGAGCCCGCGATCTATACGGAAAGTACTATAGCATTGTACGGAGTTACTATAGCACCTTATTTTTGGTGCCCTAGTTCTACAACAAAGCAGGAAAGTTACAGTGGGGGTCTAAGGTTTGCTGATTTTGGCTAAGATTTTGCTAAAACAACTTAGATTTTGTTGATTTTTCACCAGTTTTTTGTTAGATTATTTGCTTAGGGTTTGTGATTTCAGCAAACCCATGGCAGCAAGAAGGGGGCCATAGAACGGGGATTTTCGTATATCCACTCCGTGATCCTATTGATGACAGAATTGACGAACTTGAAAGGCACGTACAGCTCGCGAGCCTCAATAATAGACAAGACGGTGATCTTTCAGCCCAAGAGAATCTCGAGTACAAGCCTTTTCACTTTTGTGCTCTGCGTGGGGAGTCGAGTGTTGGGGATAGAAATAGAAGACCTAGATGTAGGGAACATCACTCTAGGGTTTCCGATTTGAAGGATGAGATTCTTGATTTTGACACAGATTGTACCGAAAATCAACAACTTGTTGATTGTAATGTCTTTGAACATTGAATTATAATACATACGAGGTGTGTGGCCCCTTGAGATGGTCAATTCTACATGCTTTTAGAAATTGAAAAAGAGAAAACCTTAGGATTTTGGAACCCTAGCTTGGGGTATAGAGAAGAAACCCAAAGTTTATTTGACTTGTGCTTGTGTTTAGCTTTGTTTCTTGCTGATTTTACTGTTCCCTCAAATTTCCCTGCATCAGTATTACAACTTCAAAACACCACAGCTAGTGGCACAGCAAATTGAAGACCACTTACACGTGTTGGACAGTAGCTACTGCCACCCTAATCAGCACAAACTGCTCCTTTACCTACTCATCATTAACTTGGTGAACACTACTTATATAAGGCTGAGATGTATTATAAATTCAGTGAATCCACCACACCCTCGATTGCAACAAGATTCCATGAAGTCTCTGCCAAGTCCTTGGAGCTGCACTTCCTAGTCAAAGCTTTAAAGCCCTAGCCTCCAATGTTAAAACCCAAAATAACTCGGACATTATTGCATGGAATTACTCCATCACCTATAAACTTCAACTTTTGAAGGACTCCTAAGATTCTTTATAAAGAATATAGAGCTCCAGATTCGTCACTATCCCTAGTTTCTCTTTCTGAGTCTGATTCCGGTATTTTCAGTCATGAAATAAACTACTTAATTGAGAACACTTCTCAACTCTTAACATAAATCAAATACACTTGTATACAATTATAAATATCGGTGATATTAATTATTTTACTATACTTGGAAACAGGAGATATCTTAGAGGTGAACAAAAAGAGAGAGAGAGAGAGAGAGAGAGAGAGAAAGAAAGAACAGAGAATGGCACGCTTACGCCGGGAACTGTATGCAAAATCGCACATGCTGGTCACCACGGTCCATAAATCCAACTTGACGTGGTAATCCTAAAAAAATTCTCCACAAATAAAATATGTTCTTTGAACATGTAGAATAGAGGAGTAAAACTAATCAGAAACAGAGGAACTTGAAAGAACTACCTTTCCCTCGTAGTATCAATACTTGCCCAGGTTGAACTCGATTTGGCACCTGCAAGGATAGACCACATCCATAAAATAAAAGAAAGAACTTCCAAACAAATGAAGTGATTAGACACAAATAACAAAAGGATGCACAAAGAAGCTATACACAAATTGACGATAAGTAATCTTGATGTCAGAAGAGAGTGTACATCCTATGATAAGTACGCAATCTATAATAATTTCTGAAATGGACAAGTATGTATTTGCTGAAGCTCAAAAGAGAAGACAAATTCTACACACAATACAGATGTCTATAACATGGTAACTATAGGTCTTTTCCAGAAACAAATGGTATCCATTACCAACTAACAGATCCATATGTGTAATATGAAGCAAATCACCAGGCATAACAATATGGACGTACCCGTAGCTGGATCTTTCCAGACAAAGTTGGCACTTCAACCATCCCCCCAAGAATAGCCTGCAAAAATGATTACACATGAAAAAAATAAGTTTAATATTGATAACATTAGTGAGTACAAAAAACCATACTTATATGCATGTCCATACAAATGACATGCAATGTCGTTATGTGGCATAAAATAGGACCATCATCCATTACAAGGGATGAGTGGCAAGTACAGAGTTAGCACCCATTGTGGTTCCTATTCCCTCTCAATCTCTCTATTCTTATCTTATATATGCTATAAGAGCAGAAACTAGATCCTCAGCTGCTGATAACAAAAGGGGGCTGAAAAAGAAGAGTGTCCAACATGTCCGGACTGGGTCTGGGTCCGGACTAGGTCTAACTTGAGCTAACCCAATATACATCTGTGTGCACACTTTCATGCGTGAGTGCCTGTATACTTGGGTGTGTGTGTCAGTTCTGGGCCAAAGTCACTCAAGTTCACTTTGGAGTAGACCTGACAAAAGGCTCCCCTAACAGATAGATTCCTTAGCATCATCATCAAATTCCTTTTCCCAACTATTTGGGGTCGGCAACACGAATCCTGGACCGCCACTCTGCTCTATCAAAGTTCATACCCTCAGTGAGGTCAAAATTCCCCAAATCTTTTCTCACTACTTCCAACCATGTCCTTTTGTACCAACCCCTTACCCGTTTTGAGACACCCTAGCTAACCCTTGCTCATTTCTCATTGTACCCAGGGACTAGTATAGCGTTTCGCTTATGGGGAACACCCTAGAATACATAGATAACGTACATTCATGAATTATGGAAAGTTTTGGCCCAAGTTTTATATATGCTGCCTACTTTACCCAGGCTTGGAATTGGTTAAGGGAAAGCTCAAGGTCTGCACAGATAGATTCCTAATTTCCAAAAATATGATAAAGAACAATATACCAGATGAATCATAAATCCTTCCATCGTTATAAGAACAATGCAGCCAAATCAAGTGATAATAAATATTCACTATATTAAGATACAAGATATATTTCAGTTTAAAAGGTCGTGTAACAAATTTTCTATGCTAAAGAACATGAGACCCTTGACTTATTTTAGGTCCACAATGCAAGTGTACCTTACAGTAATTGCAGTTACGATTTTGATTCTGCTTTAAACTCTATACGCAAACCTCATTCCATTTATAATTAAGATTTAAGCAAGGTCATCATAGATTCATCAGAAAAGTAAGGTGATCCCAAATACATTATCTTCCTAACCCAGTGGTAACTGGTAAGTAAGTTTTCTACAGCTCAAGAATATTCTTGAGAGCAGTAATATTCCTAAACAACGTAAATTACCACTTAAAGAAAAAGTTCAACTAACAAACACAACTACTATAAAAAAAAATACCCCTAAGGTATGCCACAATAGAATATTATTTAAGAACTTCAAAGAAGTTGATGGTTGCCTCATTAGAGCTGCTTAGTGCTTAGAATATCCATATTGAGGCGGTCCCAAAATGATAGCTCATTTGGATCACAAGAAAATACAAATAGAAAACATGTTGCTCAGACTCTTGCTCCCAAAAATACTCCTTAGGCACTTCAGTAACATAGGTCAAGTCCAATTTAGGTGTGTTTTCCATCTGCATTACACAGCAACCTGGTGTGATAATTCAGTGCCCCAATCATTAATCACATCATCATGGTAGAAAGTGAAAGCTATTACATTATTTTTTGAAATAAAAGTACTGAGAGTAAACACTAGATCTATGTTTACAAATAAACAGCTCAAAGATTAAGAAAGGGAGTTATATCCGCCAAACCTTATACATAACACAAGGTAACAGTCAGATGAGCAAATAACAAAAGTCAATTCTTACCTGTGTAAAGTTGATTCTAGCATCAACAAAGATATCTGCACCATCTCTTGCAAATGTAGGGTCTTTACCAACCTATAAATTTCACCAAGTCATAGTTTCAGTAAGGGATAAGGGATGCGTAATTCAATCATAAATTAAAAAGTACAAAGCAATTCATATCAGTACTTACCAACAAAATTTACAAGCAGAATATGAGTTTAAAAATTAAGTTAGAAAACCAGAACAATATCACTAGCTTGTCATGATGTATGCAGAGCTGAAATCACATTCCCCTATAAAGACCCAAAATGATGCCCTAACTCTTGGGTCATAGGGAAATAAGCATGCATGTAGAGGTCTTTCTTTAGGGTTGATTACTTTTTGGTTCTTTTGCAACAAACTAGCTTTGTAAATGGATTAACAGATATTTCATTTGGCTGTGAAGGGAATAACCAGATATTGCATTTGTGCCCACAGTTTGCATTTGTTCATCTATGAAATGTACTTAATGTTCAATAGGGGATGATTCAGCCACCTAGGCAAGCAACCAGATATCTGAGTGGCCCACACAGAAAGGATAAGAGAAGAGAAGAGAGGAAAGAAGAAGAAAAGAAACCAAAGGTCCCCCTCAGGGAGGGGAGGAGATGTGTTTTGGTTGGGTTGTTCTAGGACCCGAAAATATGATGTTTCAGGGGTTGAGTTGAATACCAAAAATCGCCTAAATGAACCAAAAGCCGTTTTCTCACAACAGAAAGTCACAAAAACCATGGAATTTCTAAAACTATAAATGACTGAAAGCGGCCTAAAATTCATCCACCATGCCACAACAGAAAGACACAAAAACCATTACATGTCAAAATACCATAGACATAGTTCATACATACAAGACAATCCACATCAACCATCCTATTTCGTTTAGAAAGGCATAACTCACAACTCCTATAAACCATAACTCAAAGAACTTTGAAAAAAAAAATGACTACGTAAGTTCAGGTTGAGGTCCATTATCACTAGCAACAACGTTTCAATTCCTACGACCACCACAAGATGCACCTGAATCTGACGATGATTCCAAACTATCATCAAATAAACCCTCATATCTGAAAAGAATACTGAGGATACTGTTGAACATTGTAATATGAAGCAAATATTGCAAATTTTGGTTTAGCGATAGGTATATCTTTATGGAATGCATTTTAAATTGCGAAGGGGAGACAGCATAGCCAAATATAACAGCCAGAACATATCAGCCCATGCCCTCAAGCCTGGACTGTGCAGGTAGGATGGGAAGGTCACTAGGCGAAGTGCAATGAGAGGAGACTAGGGTTGACTACCTCCTAAATAACAAACCTCAGGCTGTGAAGATAGGCTGCAAATTAAGTGGACGGTTCTTATGCTTTTGTAAGTGAAAAGAAGAAGCTTTCGTAACAAAATAAAGAAACATAGTCGAGCCAAATTGATCATGTCAGCCTACTTATATATGTGGATCATTCCAGAATATACATACCACAGATACAATTGTCAAAAGTATAACCGTATTAAATACAAACTTGAATAAATCAGATTTATTCCATTGCTGGAGAGAGGAATCTACTCTAAATTGGATTTTTTTAAAGAATTACTCCCCAAGGGAGAAAACAGCAATATTGAAGCCCATATGACAAAGCTAACATCATCCCAAAAAAATCTAGGCCACATACTAAGAATATGATATAAGCCAAAAAAGAAGTTCATGATGGCCCCTCATAAACTCATAATGGGCAAACTGAATATCACAAAATAATATACCAGAAGAAACTGACCTTCACTTTAATAACTAAGTCCCCAGGATGAACACCAGGCCCTGCACTATGACCAGCTTTGGGTACGCGGATAGTATCCCCAGAATCAATGCCTGAAATGGGAATAAGAGACTAGCACATGAAAGTTCAGTATATGATGATATCTACCAGCACATACAACCAGACTCAAAATATACAATGCATGAAAAAATGGGATAAAAAAAGCCTCAATAAAATCATCATTGAGAACACTGTAACGCAACCAGAAGACAATCTTAAACTAACTGATAAAAATGTTATTGGCAAAAATTTTAGGGGCCGCTATTCTCACCATGTTTTTGCTATTTCAAACCAAAACCACGGGCATATCTGCAGGCATTTTTCAAACCCCACCAATATTTTGGGCAGGAATGGAAAAAACAATAGTGAAACCAATCTTATTATTCCCTTTTAATGTCATAGACAGGGATGTTAAGGCCATAAAGCAACAGCGAATGTCGATCAGAGGTCTCCTTGAGCTAAGAACATAAGCAGAATGTTCATCAGAGGTCTCCTTGAGCTAAGAACAAACCCATAACAAGGTCGAAAGGGTTACTACGCTCTTAGAACTAATCCACTTCGATGTGTGTTGACTGATGAGTGTGTCTACCAAAGGGCACATGAGGTACTTTATAACTTTTATCGATGACTACTCCCGTTATGGCCATACATATCTATTAACGAACAAAAGTGATGCCTTGAACAAATTCTAAGAATACAAAGTTGAGGTGGAGGACCTAGTGGGAACAAAGACCAAAATCCTTAAAATGATAGAGGAGGGGGATACACTTCACATTTTCATGAGTATTGTGTGCAGACTGGTATATCCATCAAACCACCATGCCATATTTCCTGGAACAAAATGTAGACGTCGAAAGAAGAAATAGGACTCCTATAGAAATGGTGAGGAGTATGATGAGCACCGCTAACCTTGGGTTAGAATTTTGAGATGAGGCAATCCTAACAGCCACGTATGTCCTTAACTGGACTCCCACTAAAGCAGTGTCATCTACTCCATACCAAATGTTTGTAGGCCGACCTCTTTAAAGTTTGGGGGTGCTCTGCCCATGTCTTAATCCCATCCCAAACTGGGCCCTAAGATCATAAAGTGCATCTTTATAAGATAACTACACATAGAAAGGGATATAGATTCTATAACCTATCCAATAGGAATGTAATTGATGAGAATGTATAGAATCCAAGTCTCATAAACTTCGATGCAACTATGTCAAAACTCAAGACAATACAACTTGGGTTTTCCACAATACACTTAAAAATGAACTTACAAAATGAAATTACAGCAAGGTTACTGTGATATAGTGGTCAAATGATTTCAAATTACTCGAAAACGGACGATACAACTCAACTAGGGTCCCTTGTCCATCAGCCAAACAAACTACTCAAGGAGATCATCACACTACACATGTATGAGGTACTAATGAAAAATTCTGCACCACCCAAAATTACAATGCAAAATTAGACATCAATAAACTCCATAAAACTCAATATGACATGATCTCTAACATAACAACACACATATCCTCAAGTGTACAATGCATCATGACCATGGGAAGCAGAATAGAGCTCTCGGGTACCCAGTTTAATCCCTTGAATCTTAGCTATGTGTCATTGGGTGACATGGCATAACACAAAATTCGGCCAAATAAATCTCAAGAGTGGGAAGCCAAGCATCTACTGATATACACTTAAAACATGGAAGGATTTGCATAGATCAAGTGATCAAAGCAAGTGGAAAAATCATGGGAGAAATCAAGGCTCTTAAAACACAAAACCAGTTCAATTGAGTTCACAAATCAAGCCACATAAATTCGGTATAATCTCCTCTTATGAAAACAAGAATTTGAGGCATCAAAATGAATTAACTAATCTGGTGATGAAAATCTCAGAAAAATATAAGTAAAAAATGATGCAAAAAACATAGGTAAGCTCATGAAAACTAGATCAAATTGTGCATGGATGAGGCCTTCAACTATATGGATCAAGAGGGATCAAGGTAGATTCAAGAGATCAATGATCTAATATTTAAATAATGAAGATAGCTGCCTTCAACTATATGGATCAAGAGGGATCAAGGTAGATTCAAGAGATCCATGATCTAATATGAAAATGATGAAGATAGCTTGCTGTAATTAGGAATTTACAGCAAGTCAAAGGAAATTGAAGAGATCTTACTCAATTGATGATGACCTTAATACTAGATTAACCATATTGGAATTATGTCTTTTCAAAACCTTAAATTCCGACATTTTCAATAACTCTTAACTTTAGTGGGAGTAAAAGAGCGCCATGACTCAAGGATCTTGACGCACTGCGACCAAGAGTCATGGAACCCTGAGTGAGTCATGAAAAGGATTTATATGCATGGGAGGTACCGAAACAGTTGAAGGTTAGCTCTTAGCCAGGGTCAGTTATTATGTTTGTGCATTTTCCATAATTGGTTACAAGAAATGACAAACTTGGAAGCCCCTAGGCCTAGGGGACCTCCATGTCCTTTTGTGACCCTGATTAGGTCATGAGGAGGATTGGTCTATGGAAGGTACCAAAAGGGTTGAAGGTTACCTTTAAGTCAGGGTCAGTTGTTATGTTATGTTTGTTATGTGCCTCATGACTGAGAGATAGGCCAGGACATTACGACGTTCGAATGAGCTTGATGAACTGAAAGTCGTGTACGGGAAGGTTGGGGCCAATAGAGTACATTGGCCTAAATCCCTGACTCTTAGAACCTTTTTCTTTTTTTTTTGGAAAAATCCCCGCCTCTTAGAACCTTCTTGTGGCATGTGCATATATAATCACAATTCATGGGAAACCAGCTCTTCCACGAATCCACTAGATAGAGCTACGCACATATATCAAGAGAGGAACCCCGCGACTTGTTTTGTGTGCATGTCCTCTAGTGAGTGCACCTAAAGTCCACTTAACCTTGGGGATTCAGAGTCGCACATCGACTTGACTTTGATAGACTAATATCTTGAGCCCCTAATTTGACTTTGTGGGTCATGAGTCTGTTGGGTCATTTTCGAGAAAGTGGCTTTGGATTCCAGGTCCAACCGAACGGAGTGTTCCGTATTGTAATTCAACTCCAAGTATCCTAATTTCTCTTATAACTATTTTTAATCATTGTCAAAATGCTCTGTTTTAATGAAAAATCATTAAAATGATTTTTGAGGATTTATGAGAATTTTTATGGATTTTTCCAAACAGGAAAAATCTTTTTCCACCCCCATGGGGCCCCACGCTCCCCCACATGGAGATTACATGGGGTGACGTCAAACCCATGGGGGACCCCCTTGTCATTTCACTTAAAGCTATTTATGTTGAACAGTATTGTATTTTGATTTTCCATAAAATGGTGGAATTTGGAAAATTGAATTTGGCACATGTTAAATGCCTAAAGCAAGTGGATTTGTGCATGTGTGGGATATTCAAGAAGGGGAGGGCATATGGTAATTGTGCACTTAACGGCTTTCCTTATGTGGCATGTTCCCATTGATCCCACATGTTCTTTAAAATGGAGGAAGTTTTGAAAGCTTTGTTTTTGCTAGAAATTTGGTTAAATAACCATTAGGGCATACCCTCCATCATGGTTTTATTGTTCATCAAAACTGTAGAGCATGGGCATTTTGATAACAAGGGAAATTAGAGTGAATTAAAGGGAGGATAAGGGTGTTAAATCCATGTCACATCAAGATGGCTGATGGTAGATGGTAGGATAGGATCATGCCTCTCTTTGTAGCTTTTAATATATGACATGGAGGGCCTTGATTCATCATCTAAAAGCATCTCATCCCATGAGCATTGGAAAGGCTATAAATGCCCCACTTGAAATCATTTTCATACATGAGTTTCTCTCACTAAAGTTTCCCCCAAAAGTGGCTAGTCCCATCTCTTTCCTCACTCTCTCTTTGGCACATCTAAGTCTCTCTCTCTTTCTCTCTCTCTCTCTCTCTCTCTCTCTCATCTTCAAGTGTTGAAAGAGAGCAGCCCCTTCAAGGTGAATTTAAGCTCCATTAATGGTGATCTAAGGTTCATAACTCATGCCATGGATCAACTAGTCGAGTAAGCTTCATCAATTGAGTAAGGTTTTCAATTCTCCACCAATTTGATTATCTTTCCTCTACTGTAAATTTGCAATTACAACAGCACTTCATTTCCTTTTGTTGATCATTCTTTAGTCCTTTGATTCTCTAATTGTTCTCTCATGATCCATGTTGATTTAAGCTACATCCATGTTCAAATTGGAGTAGCTTTCCATGAGCACTATCAATTGGATTTTCGAACCATTAATGACTGATTTTCTATGAGTTTTTAAAACTCACATCAGTCACTTAGATCACCACCTTGCTACCTTGAATTTCCATTTGTCAAAGAGAAACTACGTCATTTTTCTAAGAGCCACTTTGCAAAGAAACTTGATCCGGTTTTTTGTTCTAAAGCTCTGGATCTCTCCCACGGTTTTTCCCACTTGCAAGATCTTTGAATCTCTGCAAAAACCTTCCATAGTTGATGTATGTATCAGTAGATGCTTGGATTATTATTTATTAGATGATAAATTGGCCTACATTTGTGTGATGCCATCGCATGTTACACATTGGCACATAGTTAAGACCAAAGGTATAAACCGGGCACCCGAGAGCTCCAAATGGCTTCCGTTGGTCTTGATGCACATTACACTTGAGCAATCACATATTGATGTATTTTCAAGTGTCCATTGATGTATAATTTTGCATTGTAAGATTGAATGTTCCTGAATTTTCAAGAGCACACTATTCATGTGTAGTCTTGTGTTATTTCTTTAAGGTAGTCTTGTTCTTGTAAAAGGGACCTCAATAAAGTCTTATCCTCTCGTTTTAAGTGTATTTCGAAGCCATTATGTGATTGTGGTAGCACCAACCTTGCTGTAATTTCGATTTAAGGGTTGTAATTCAAGTATATTGTTGAAATTTTAAAGTTGAATTGTCTAGAATTTGCATACATTGTATTCCCTTGCACGAGATTTGGTTTCTTATACACTAACAAGTGGTATCAGAGCCAAAAATCTAAGAGATTACATCAAGCCCATAGGAAGCCAATTGGAGCTCTTGTATGCCTGGTTTACAGCTTTGGATCTTAGCTATGTGTCAATGGGTGACATGTGATGCCATATGACAAATTCGGGCAAATTCCATCATCAAATAAAGCAAGAAGTCAAGCATCTACTGATATACACTTCAAATATAAAAGGATTTGCAAAGATTTAAAGATCTAAACAAGTCAAAAAATTGTGGGAGTGACCTGACACTTTCAAACACAACCAGCCCAAATTTCTACACAAAGTGGCTCATGAAAATTCAACATCGCCTCTCTTTGTAAAATCAACAATTCAAGAAGACTAGGGAGGTGAACTAGGTGACTGACACGAACTTGAAAAACCAGAAAAATATCAGCCAAAAAATATACGCAAATTCAATGGAGAAAGCTCATGGAAAACTACTTCAAATTGTGCATGGGTGAGCCTTAAACAACATGGATCAAGAAAGATCAATGGAAAATCAAGGAACTAGATGTATGATCATCAACGCGGGAATAGATGCTGCTGTAATTGACAATTTACAGCAAAGAAAAAGCAATCAAATCAATAGAAATTGGAAACACTTTACTCAATTATTTAAGGCTAGAAGACTAGATCATCCATGGCTTGAGTTTTGAGTTTTTAATCACCATTAAAGGAGTAGTATGAGACCTTGAAGGAGCTTCTCTCTTTCACAACATGAAGAACTTTTAGAGAGAAAGAACCATAGCTTTAGGCGTGCCAAAGAGAGAGAGAGAGAGAGAGAGGCGAACCATTTTGGAAGGAAATTGAGTGAGATCAACTCATGTGGAAAAATTGACTCTAGGGGGTATAAATAGCTTTTCAAGCCTCAAGTGTGGAATATGCTTCTAGATGATGAATCATAGCTCTTCATGTCATCTACCAAAGGCAACAAAAAGAGGCATGATCCTAGCCCACCATCTACCATCATGTCATCAATATGCGTGGTATAGATTTAAACAACTTTATCCTCCTTTAATTCACTCCAATTTCCCTTGTTATAAAGTCCATGCTCTTTGCACTTAATAAACCTTAAAATAAAGATGGAGGGTATGCCCTTATGGTCATTTAACCAAAATTCCAAGAAAAACAAATCTTTGATAATTCCCTCCTTTTTAAAGAGCATGTGGGATGAATGAGAACTAGCCACATAAGCTAAGTGGTTATGTGCACTATTACCATATGCCCTTAGGGTTGGCTTTATAATTACAAACTTGACACCCTTTTAGAAAACTCCACACATGTGCGCAATCCATTTTCTTTAGGCATTTAACATGTGTTAAACTGAATTTTCCAAAATGCATTATTTATGGACAATCAAAATTCAAAACTATACAACACATAATAACAATAAATAAAAAGACAAGGGGATCCCCTCATGGGGTTGACATCACCCCCAAGTCACCTCCACGTGGGAGGACATGGGGCCACATAGGGTTGGCAAATGGACACCCATTGGCCATTTGGATGTCTTGTGTAGGTCAAAGGGGACCGTCCTTGATTGTTATTATTTCGAAACAATTTCGAAAAAACAGATTTTCTTGCCCAAAAAATTCCAGAAACAATGCCATAAATCCACAAAAAACATTTTAATGATTTTTCATCAAAACAAAACATTTTGGTATTAATTAAAAACATTTGCAAGAGAAATTAGGATCCTTGGAGTCGAATTACAAAATAGAGTACTCCACTCGGCTAAACCCAGAATCCAAAGCCACCTTCTCAGAATGACCCAAAAGACTCATGTCCCACAGTGTATAATTAAGAGCTCACGATATTAGCATATATGCGACTCTAAATCCCTAAGTTTAAGCAGATTTCAGGTGCACCCCGTAGAGGACATGCACACAAGGTGCGGGGGTTCCTCTCTTGGTACATGTGCATAGCTCTATCCAGTAGATCCCTGGAAAAGCATGCTTCCCATGCATTACGACTGTATATACAGTTCTGGAATTTTCAGCGATTTAGACCAATGCGCCCTCAATAGGCCCTAACCTTCCCGTACAAAACTTTTAGTCATTAAGCTCATACATACATCATATTGTCCTGACCCATCACTCAATCATGAGGCACAAGTACAACAACCAATCCTGACTTAAAGGTAACCCTCAACCCTCTCAATACCTCCCATATATAAATCCTCCTCATGACCTAATCGGGGTTCCATGACTCATGGTCCAGTGCGTCAAGATCCTAGAGTCGTGTCGTTCTCATACTCCCACTGAAGTTACGAGCTATTGAAAATGAAGGAATTTAAGGCCTTGAAAAGACATAATCCCAACACTAACCGTAACCAATTCATGTTGTTGTGCATGTTTTGTATAAAGGGCGTACGCCCAAGTTTTCATTTATCGAAACAAGTCATCCATAATGATTGATTTTTAGATGACATAAAACAACATAACCATACCCCAGCTATGAACAGTTAACATTCTTCAAAAAAAAAAAATACCCAGTTATGAAATATGGCATGGAGCACACATGATTTGCACGCAAGAGCTGCAGTTAAGCAGCACCTTCTTCCAATGCCAACAAACTCCCCAGCAGAAGTGTGTGTGTCCATATAAACATAAAAATATCCTAGCTATGCATACATGGAGAGCAGACGACTATAAGCACAAAAGGTATGCCGCCATTTTTTAACAAAAGAAAAAACTGTGCGCTACCATTTCACAAACTAATCAAGCACAAGCGAACTAAATTATCTATTTATAATTATAAGGATATAAATCTAGAATCACCTGCAGGAATGGTAATATCAGCCTCCTTGAAGCCTTCAACTGTCCCAGAACCTTTGCACACAGCACAAGATACCTGCAAGCAGATAACACATTCAATAAAGAAAAACAATCAGATCAGAGTGCATCATTTACTCAAAGGTCATAAATACCTTCATAATTCGACCAAACCCCTTGCAAGTACTACACGTTGATGTGAATGGAGGGATAGTGACCTTCAAAAAGAAAACATGAGACTTATGAAAAGCAAAGAGACGAAACAGAAAAAGAAAACAGAAATGTTGATCAGTACTGCCAAAATATGAGGGAAAACCCATTCTAGAATCTTTCAAGAAATACAAACTCGAATCTTTTCTCGAGAAACTTTAACTACAGACATGTGGAGTGACACTCACTTTCCCAATGCCCTTACAAGTTGGACATAACTGTGGATTCGCACCAATTGGATAACCTCTTCCTTCTGCAGTCCAAAAGAGAAGTGAGCATCAAATACATTGTACCAGAAAGCATGAAAGCATATTTAGGACAGAATAACTCTCAACAATATTCTCATGCGAGTAGCACAAGAATAACCCCAGCATATAATAGATTAGATTCCAAGCAAGCATTTATTGAAGCCAACAGTCTTGAAAGGTAAACCACCACTTCAGTTCAGTATTTAGACCTAAGAACTCATTATTCCGTTGAATACCTAAAAGGGATAGACTAGAGATTTAGAGGTTTTAAATACAGTAATTATTTTATTGTGAGCGTGAAATGCAGATATTCAGGCATTTTTCCATGTATAATTACAGATATTCAGACAGCTTGAGTTCCCACTGGAAAGATATGACAAGTAGATGGTGACAAGTAAGATAAAACCTCTTAAATGAAATAATCCAAAACAAATAACAGAAATACAACACTTTACCCCCAACTTAAAAGGGGCTAATTCGATATGATATTATTAAATAATGTCTTAAAAGGTGGCTGCTCGGGCACCTTAGGTAGTTCCTTATGGTAGCCCAAGGCGAAAGCATCTCACATAGGCTGAAGTGGCCCACCTAAGATGCACCTAGAGGGTGCCTGGTGTAGCCAAGTCAGACAACCCGGAGCTCGCACTACCCAAGGCAAAAACTGTCTTGGGGTAAATGGGGAATTTTGGTCATTTTCCCCTATAGAAAATATTTTTTTATTTGGATTCGCTCCCCCCCTCCCTGCCCCCCCCCCCCCGAATTTTTTTTTCTTTTTTGATGCCGGGAGGGGTGTGGGGGGGAAGTTGTGGGTGTGGTCAGGGTCTGGTTATGTTCTTGACTCCTTTAGATTGCACAACCCAGTTTTTGTGTGGAAAACACATAAAAAAGTAGAATTGGACTTCCTTCTAAAGATTGACCAAAATATTTCAAAGGAACCAATTTGGTTCAACAAGTAGCAGTATCAAATCTTCATAGAACTTCAAGGGCAGCTATATGTTGAGGTTTTCAGCTACCAACATTCAAAGGTTTTGCTGAAATAATTCATTAGAAAGATGGAATACACTCACAAACCTACACAGAAACAAATAATAGATTATCAAATGGAAAAAGTTTATCTAAGGGCAGGGCTCTAAACAATCAAATTAGGGCACACCTCAAAAATTCACTAGAAGTTTCAATGCCCAAAAATTCTCAAATTGATCATCTCAACCTCAAGATGTATGGACATGAAAAAAAAAAAGGATTTCAAGTCTTAGAAATAATGTTTCTTGTAATGCATTTTTGGACCGTCAATTTTCAAGATTTTCAAGTGTTCATAGATTTGCTCAATCTACATTATTTTTTAAGCTTTAAATGTTATAATTAGAGGCGAAAAAAAAAAATTTAGGTCATCACAAAGATGTCCAATATTGAAACAACATCTTTAGACACTATTTAAAGACGTGCCATACTTTCATGGTTTAGAGCCTCGGCCCTATACAAACCACACCCTTATCAAATATAAGAAATTCTAAAGTAATTTCAGAAATATTCACAATATGGGGTTTGTCTTTGCAGAAAAACCCCCAAATTTCCCCTTCTACACCCCCATCCCCCCTTTCTAGTATTTGGCCGCCTCATACATGAGATATATGCCTAGGAAGGTTAGGAAGCCGACATGCCTAGGCGCCACGTAGTCATTAATATATGGGTCTTAGACTCAATGTAAGCATGGAAGATGCAAGCTACAACAAGAATTGCCACCACAATGTACTAATTTCCTAAAAACCCTATGCAACCTCCATGTAGGAGAAGATTCAAAAACACAATCTACAAAAGAGTGTCATCAACTGTATGCATATTCACATGGAATATGGACTGTTTGCCTTCCTCGAAACATGAAGTCCAATGATCACATGGAGTGAGGAGAATTCACAGAAGCCTCAGTTCAAGAACCATAAATATAGGAACTGGTGACCCAATACGACATTTATTTTGCTTAATATACACACTTTTGGCAGATTTAACCCTTTCTGAAATAACATTCTCGATTCCAGGTCTCCTATGGTGCATGAGATGCATGTCAACTATGCTAAGATCTTCTCATGTGCCTTGATGCCATATTTCCATGAATAAATAGCCAAGACTACTCTGAATACCAGTGTCTGGAATGGATCACACATTTATACAAGTAATAGAAACTGTATCCATGTACCAAATAAGATACCCAGGTCCAGATCCATGCTGTGGATTCTAATGATTTAGTTATATGCCCTCCTCTGGTCTCCATGTCCATATCAGTATCTATAATCAGGAATCTTAGTTTCTTTACCGAAAACTAACTCCCCATATGTGAAAACTAAGAGCTAACTTCTGATGACAACTCGAGAGTAAGGAGAGTTGACTGCAGCTAGCTTGCAGTTATAATTATCATCAACAAGAAACAAAAGCAGCTCCAAGTGTTCCCAGGGTTCGATAAACCAGATAGTTTGGCATCATTGCTAGGCTAACGCACACGAAACCACAATTTACTACAATGCAACTATAATTGCAGCTTTATAAAATAAATAGCTGAATCTGGGGAAAAACTAATATATGAAGGCGCACTACATTTTCAACACTGGTAGTTTTCATTCATAATATTAAATAACAATATTAATAGCTTAGTAACATCTGAAGCTTTCCATTTGATGGCCAGCTATTACAGGAGCTGGGTGTTGTAGTTCAAATTTTGGGAACAATGATGAAGAACAAATAATTTTTATTGATACCTGTATATGCTACAGACTACACGATCTGCTTAGAATGTTGCATGAGGACGTATGAAGGTTGTCCGAGATTCACATTAGAAAGGTCAATTTAACTTACTACATTCGTTACAGTGGATACGGGCATTGAAGCGCAGATGTTTTGTGCATCCTCTAGCAGCTTCAGAAAAAGAAAGAGGAAGACCCACCTGGATGATGAACCCATACCAAAGGTGAAGCCATTAGGATTGTTCAGAGACCAAATATCAACGAACAAAACAGATAAGCTTTTTCAAGTAAGAGAATAATATAACCTGTATATCAGTCGCTATGATTTCTGGGGCTTCATCAAAGATCTATGAAATTACCAACAGCACTTCATCAATCAAAGATCATTGTTCACATAAATCAAACCAAGACATGAGAAAAAGAGAGTTTGCAACAGGATTAAAAAAGGATTGAGGTACCTCAGAAAATATTTTACGGAACTCATTAGAGAAATGGTCATGATAACCATAATAAAACCCAGTTCCTGAAGAACCTGCATCTCCATCAACATGTTCTTCTCTTCCAACACCATGGAATTCCTTTCGAACACAAATGCAGAAAAGGAGACAGTTTCAGTTTGAGCAATCTGAAATCAAAGGCAGTTACCAGAAGTTCTCTGGAGCACTTAGTATCTTTTATGTAGTTACTAATTAAAATATACATGAACAAAGAGACAAGAAATGCACTTAATAACTACTATTGATGCACAGGTGAATTGGTCCTTGTCAGAAAACGTGCACGTAAGTACTAATATTGATGCGTACAGGGTATGCCACTTGCCAATAATATTATATTCTGCATGCATGTTTATTTCAAAGAACAGAAACATAACCCAAGCTTCCTATGCCACAGCCATCATGAAAAATAGACATCAAGAGACCAACGCACTGGAAACAACTTTAAGGAGGTACACTGAAAACAACTTCAAGTAGCAATTATCATCCTGGGGAAACAAGAGACTAATGCCCTGAAAACAACTTCAAATAGCAAGTATCATCCTGGGGCCCCAGCACTATTGTTCTTAATCATTTCCTAATTACTCTTTTTTATAATTATCAGTATTCCTTGATAAATGAGTGTTACTAATATCAATCTGAAGCACAAATAGTGCACCAGAAACCGCTAAACCACAGATGTCAAACGATAAAGCAAAACAAAATGACATATATAAGTTATTTAAACATTGAAATAACAACATCCAACACGCAAAGAGAGAGTTCTAAAGCATACCCTATCATATTGCTCCCTCTTTCTGGAATTAGTCAAAGTCTGCAATGCCCTTCGATATGACATCATCAATTAGTAATTCACACACAGCCACATAATATACATAGCAAAGACAGTTATCCATGCTTGCATAAAATGTTATAAATCACAAGGGCATCAAGAGATTGTTAGAATGCACATTACTCTCCTGGAATCACAAGCACCAAATGTGACTGCTAAATATTCAAAATTCATGCATAAATTGCACTTTAGGACATTATGAGCTCCATAGTAGTAAATAAAATAGGTTGAACTGCTGAACCAAACTAAGAAAAGTTTCTAGGGGTTTTTCCAGCACAAACCTCGTAAGCTTCCCTTATATCTTGGAATTTTCTCTTTGCTCCAGGATTGTTCTTATTTATATCTGGATGGTACTTCTTTGCAAGCTGCATAAACAACATATTGGTGAGCATTGGTTATAGTAAAATATTATATTTGCTCATAACATCAGGATGATATGATGATGATGATGATATGTCCTCAACCCTTTAAATAAGGTCCTAGCAAAGATCATTCAGATTTCAGGCATTCAAATCCATGTGTGTTGGATATGATCTTTAAATACAATTATTGCAATAATCATGCTGTCATAAACAAGAAGAAACAGTAGTGGAGATTGTTGTAAGATAATTATGATTGATATTCAAGATACAAACTTAAAAGCAACAACAGAAAGCACAGAATTCGTTAAAGCATTTTCGTTACTTATTAGAGAAATATAGAAGTTATTTTATCTTTTTTTGAGACTTCATGCAGGAGTTCTTTACCAACTCATTGATAATATACATTTATTTTATTTGTCAAGCTGGAAGCATGAGAATATGGATTAAATGTGAGCCTTAATCCAACTCAGTGAAAGCTGGCAGATGAAGCTATTATTAAATGTGCACCTTAATCCAACTCAATGCTTGAAATTCATGTTCCTTGTACTCTTAATAGCCTGCTTGACCCAGGACCAGTGCTATTATTCACCAAATCTCATGAAGACACAAGGCAGTCTAACATTCTGATTCAGTAATTGTTTATTTGTACCTAACTCCACTAAAACCATGCATTCTAGGCAATCGAAATAAAATTGCTTAGAGATATATGAAATCAGTTAGTTCCTAAGGAAACAAAAACCAGTCTAAGTAATTTGAAAATTATTTTGTAGGTACTATGTCTGTCAAGTATCCTAGACCTAGTATTAGCAACTTTTGGCATATGGATATTGGAATTACCAACCTCATAATAGGTAACTCTACTCTTGGCATTGTCATCTAAACGTGCATGAGATAATCGTAATACAGGGATGGTTACTACTAACAAGCAATCCAACTCAAACGAGGATCTCTTACACTCCTGTTTCTTGAATTACACTCACAGCACATGCAAGTACATACATTTGCTTTTTTCATATTTATAAGACATCCATTTTCTCGTCAATCCACACTTTAAAAGTTGTTATTATTGCCACATTTTAATGCAACTATGCCTAGCTGCTTGTGTCCTGTTTCAGAAACCAAATAAGTTTATGACTCAACTACAAGAGGCTTACCTGAAGATCCTACTCAAGGTGCTTAAAGAAACGAAAAGAAAAAAAAGAAAAACAGTTCATAGACACCTTTTTCATACTTGTAGGACATCTATTTTCTCAGCATTCGAAACTCAAAAAGTTTTTTATTATTGCTGCATCTTAAGGCAACTAAGCCTAGCTGCTTGCGTCTTGTTTCAGAAACTAATGAAGCTTATCACTCAAGTACAAGAGGATTACCTGAAGAACCTACTGGATCTCCTTAAAGAAACTAAAAAGAAAATAAAGAATGTTTCAGAAACTAAAGAAGCTTATCACTCAAGTACAAGAGGTTTACCTGAAGAACCTACTCGAGGTGCTTAAAGAAATGAAAAAGAAAATAAGGAAAAACAGTTCATCAAGACGTAATATAGAGCATATACATTTAGTTTGCTCAAAACAACTAAAATTTAACTCTAGGTTGAGCATCAAACATTGTCCAAGCATATCATTCAGCTTGCTAAAGAAACATACCAGCAACCTCGTCAGAATAATTTGACTTTATTAGAATGGGATTCACTATCATAACAGTGTACAGTATGATTGCATATGCTGTGATATTATATCCTCCATGAATCTAAGCATGAACATTTTCAGCACATGCCAAAATTTGTGTAGACCCCTAATAAAGCCTAGTGACAACTTACAGCAAGATAAGCCTTCTTGATGTCATCATGGCTTGCATCTTTGGGCACACCAAGAATTTCATAAAAATCCTTTTCTCTATTACACAATCCTGCAAGGAACTTAAACAAATACAAATAATTATATTTCACAATGTAACAAAGTCATAGGGTGATGCACATATGCATAGCATCACATGCATGCACATTAGGTCAAGACCATGTTAAATGTAAAAGTACTACAGAAGAAACAAATATTTGTGCATGCATACACATCTGTTTATGCATATATACATGTTCAATGAGCACAAAGAAAGTGTGTGCATGCAATCCACACCCCCAGATATGTTCAGATGCATGCAGACAAGTACATATGTGAGCATGCATCTAGCTGTGCATTTGTATCATTCATGTAGTGCTTCCTTTTACATAGCTACAAATGTGTGAAACTCATCTGTATGTAAATACACGCAAGTGGGTGCATCTATGTTTTGCTAGGTGGTGACAAGTGACAACTTATGCAGAACAAGTGAATGGTACTATGCTAAGTGAATTTCAAATGAGAATACGTCTAAGTTGTCTAGCCACCTCCATTGACAAAGATTATAAGAGCCAAAATATTGCCAAAAAGCACAACAGTCTATAAAAATTTGTATGTGTAGGACATAGATTATAAGAGCCAAAATATTGCAGAAAATCATGACAGCCTAAAAAAGCCTAAAAAATTTGTATGTGCGGATGGGGTGGGGTTTGGATTATGAACAAATTTTGGTAACTACAAACACACGCATATATACATAATTCCTAGTCAACTATAGAATAAACCACGATATAAAGTGATTTTTTATTAAAAATGTCTCAAACTACGCTTAAACATAGATTATATAAGCCAAAAATTGCTGCAAAAATATCATTATAGTCCATGGAAGAAGAATGTGCGAGTGTGCGGGTGGCAGTCAGAATTAAAATAGTTTTGGATTACTATACGCATGCAGATAGAGACACACCATTAGAAAATTTTATAATTAATTCGAAAACAAACCATCCACATCAAAAAAATATACATAGTTTGAGGCTAGAGGAGGATATTGAAGCATATTACCCGTAGCATGAAATGATCGCTTTAAATGATATGCTGCGAATGGTGCTGTGACTGTTTTTCGAAATATATCAAATCGTTCATCATTGAAGGCTGCACAAGGACATGTTCAATAGGTCTCAATGAGATCGCCAATTATCGCAATTACAAAAACTACTATTTATGACTACATAAGTATAATCCACTAAGGTAGAGCTCAAGCCACCTAATTGTCCAATGTTTGAAACTTCAATCAACAAGAAGATATCGACTATTTCCCAATTAGGAATAAAGGATCCAGGAAACACGAAGGAAGAGTTATCATTCAAGTATTCTAAAGAAATTATGTATGGAAATATGCAGCACAAAGAATGAAATAAAAACAAGAAAGGTAACTTAAATCAAATAACGAAAATTAAATCCAATAAGGAAACTTAAATCAAACAAGAACTCTTTTATGTGCAAAAGAATGTCATGCAACAGAAACAAGAAAATAATCCAATAAGGAAACTTAAATCAAATATTCAGTCTCCAATTTTAGATGAGGGATTAACCATCCCATTCAGAGTTAAACTTAGAGTTAAACCAGCAATAATTGCAAGTAGATATGCCAAAACGTGATGATGTCATGCCTGATGAAGTTCAAGAAAGGGATGCAAGGCGTAAACTGAAAACTTTAAATATTAATACCATCAGAATTCAGCCCATTGATCATGAGGTATGGCTTTGATTAATCTATAGATCATAAAAAAAGACTTCCTGTGGCAGGCGTTCATAGTTTGAATAGAACATAGGACTTTATTGGTAATTTTCTCACTAAAAAGATGCAAATATCTTGATACATAAGACAATGCCTGAACAAAACTTACTGAGTGGCAACTCAACACAATGATTTAACCCAACTTTGCTGGTTCACAGGCAGTGTGGCCAATCCAGCCTCAGATATGCAATCATAACCATCCTGACTTGTATAACTGGAATTTTCTTAAAGGCTCTAGACAGAAAAACCTCGTCATAAAATAACTTCCAAAAACAACTTTGCTGCCATCAGTGTTTTCAGACTCATCTCAGGCCTGGGCTGAGAGAGTTACTTGGGCGAGTCTGAGTGGACTCACCTGCTTAATACACATTTAAAAGAAAGCAAGAAAAGAAAAAAGAGGCAAAAAAAAAGGGAAGGGGGTACATCACCAAAGGGAAAGAAATTCCAGACCATGCGTCTCTCTCTATGTCACACCCCCCACCCACAACATCTCTCTCTCTCTCTC